CGACTCTCGTACACAGATCCTTTTTATCCAGGGTTTTCGTAAATGCGTTACAATCCGTCATTAATTTAAATTTAATACCAATGAGATAAACTCTAAACGTTTTCAATGCCTCAATGACTGCTAACACCTCAAGTTCGTAACTTGTATATTTTCTTTCAGCGTCAGAGGTTTTTCGACTCATGTAGTACACGAGATGTAAAGGGTTGTCGTCTGGAGATTTTTGCAATAGCACTGCGCGATAGCCATCGATCGATGCGTCAGTGTGGACTTCGGTTTCAAACTTCTCGTTAAATATGTGTAGTACAGGTTCATTAGTCATGCACTGCTTAAGTTTGTCAAATGCTAATTTTTGTTCATCACCAAATTGGAACTTTACGTTTTCTTTTCGCAGATCGTTGAGTGGTTTCGCTATAAGTGCGAAATTCGGTATAAATTTTCTGAAATATCCGGCAAGTCCCAAAAAACTTTCAAGTTGCTTCCGGTTCTGCGGTTGCGGAAATTAAATCACAGCCTTCGTTTTTTCTGCACCTGGGAAAATCTTCCTGTCTTCTATGATGTTACCCAAAAATTGAATTCTTCTCTTAAGGAAACTACACTTCTTGAGATCGATGTCTAATCCATAGTCTCTACAAGTATCTAAAATTCGTTGAAGGTTAACCAAAGCCTCATCGTAATTACTCGCGGGAATTATGACGTCATCAACGTATGGTAAGGCGATACCTTCTCTATTTAGTTCTCGGAATATAGCATTTATGTGACGTTGAAACACAGCCGGCGAATTAGAAAGACCAAATGGAACTTTTCGGAATTGGTACTGGCCATTGTGAGTCACAAACGACGTATACTTTCTACTCTCTTCATTGACCGGTACGTGAAAGAATCCATTTCGTAGATCTATTGTACTGAATATAACAGCGTTTTGCAAACGATGGAGCTGATCTTCGATTAAGGGTAGCGGATAGTGATCTTTTACTATCACCTTATTTATTCTTCGGTAATCAATACACAATCTAGACGTCGAATCTCGTTTCTTTACCAAAACTATTGGACTGCAAAATTCTGATTCCGAATGTTCGATAATTCCTTCATCCAACCATTTGTCAATTTGGTTTTCGACTATAGTCCTTTCTTGGAATGGTAATCGTCTGGGACTGCAAAATATAGGCGTTCCGTCATTAAGTATAAGTTTCATCTCCACGTTAGTTGTCTTGCATTTGTTAGGCTTATACGCTTGAACCATATTCGTCACTTTCCTTATTCTTTCTTTTCCAGCAAATACGTCAATGTCCAATTCTATTTCATCACAAGCATCCGTTACCATTATACTGTGTACCTCTTCTTCTTTTTCCCGTTCCTTGTCCTCTATTTTCTTGATCTTCAGGCAATCTGGAGTTATTGTTACGTTGGCTTGTCTACAAATATCATTTCCAAGTATCACTTCAACGTCACAAAATGTATTTGGAACAACATGGAATGTCAAATTATATTCCTCGCTATCTAATATAATTTTGGAGTTAAAATTTCCTGATGGTTTAACTTTATTTCCTTTCGAGTTCATACCAAATCCTACTAGATGGAAATTCGTTTTATTTAGCTTCGGTCTATTCAGCATATTATACACCTTCTCGGACACAACATTAAATTTACTGCCAGTATCGAATAGTGCTGACCAACTTTGGTCTCCAAATCTGATTTCTTTCTTCATTATATCATGCGATACCAATCGGCGTACATTTGCAGCTTCTTGTTTTGACGGACAGTCTTTGGAAATATGACCAAAAGTGTTACAATTAAAACACTTGAGCCCTTTTGTCTTGTTTTTACAGGCATTCGACATGTGCCCTTTTTCTCCACAATTAAAACATGTCATATCTTGTTTGGAATTCTTAACAGTTTTCTTGCTAGAGTTGACTGCGTTCTGTTTTGCTTCACTTGAGTTTCTGTACTTCATCCACATATTCTCGTAACATTTAAGTTTTGCTTTAAACTCTTTCAAACTTGTTGCACCGTAAAGAATCGTTTTATTTGAAGTTGAATCTCGTATACCATCTATTACGTATTGTATTAAAGCACTGTCTTCAACTAGTCCACGCGAAGCAAGCTCTTTCATGTTCAAAAAGTATTCGTGAACATTCTCGTCTTTGTTAATTTTACGTTCAGCCAGTAGTCGATGTAGTTGTGCGCTATTCAAGTCAGTTCCAAACTCGTCTATGAGGGATTCCTTAAGTTTTTGCCACAATGTAATACCTCGTTCACTCGACACAAAAAGTTTCGCCAAACCTTTTAGTGATTTTTTCCCAAAGATGTACTTTTGGAAATCATCCCAGCCCATTATGACAGCTGTTTCCTCAAATTCTTGAATCCAGGATCTAATGGATAAAACTCCACTGCCATCAAAAGGTCTAATTGATTCCTCAATATCACGAAAATTCATTGTAAATCTAGGTACGTTAAGATTCGTTGCATACTGCGTCATTCTATACTCATTACTTTGATTTTTGTTTACATTTTCGTCGGCCTTTTTGATCGAATTTACTTCTCTGTCCAACATTGCTCTCGTTTTCTGTTTACACTCGTTTGTAGCATAGTTTTCTGCGCCCACATAAACTTCATCATATCCTAGAGCATCTTCATTATCGTCAGCAACACATACATTGTTATCGTTATTCGGCTTTGGTACCATTGTTCGATCCTTTGTTTCACTCGTTTCAGAGACATCCTCATCATCGGTTTGATAATCATCGTCTATGTTCGAAGAACTTAACAAGCAACCTTTTTTCAAATTCGCGAAAATGTGTGGGAACAAATCGTTAACGTCGTATGCAATTCCCAACATGTTGCAAATTGGCACCAGATCTCCTGCGTTCAAATTCTGTCGAACATATTCTGCCTTCTCCTTATACTCGTCCGTCGCTTCGTCGTATTCAAACCCTTCAAACACTCTCAGACGTCCTCTGTTTCCACGATCCCCTTCGCAACCATACACAAACATGTGCAAAGCAACAACAACAGCTCGTTTGGCAACAGCCAAATTATTGCGAATTGTAACAAAATCACCAAGTGCAGCCATTTCGACGGTTATTATGTTTGTTTTTACTTCGTTAGCGTTAGCGCGTCGTTGTTTTCTCTTAAAATTGTATTTTATATTCTCTTCTCAGTTCGTCTATTTTTCGTATGAAGAAACTAACCGTTACGTTTCTCCTATTTTCAATGTTCGTCGTCACGTCGTTTTCATTTATTCATACACATACATAGTTGTTTGCTTCATTCGTCGTTTAATTCATTCTATCTTCAAATTACTTGTAAATTTACTTTTTCAATCGTTTATCCACTTTACAATAAGACATCCATTTTTCTCATGTCTATACAAAATCACTTCTTTCGTTTTTCTCAGATAGCATCGTTTTGGTTTTGGCTTAGCAGCGTCGTCGTCGTTTTTGTTGAGCAGCGTCTCGTCTTTTATTTTTGTTGAGCGTCGTTTTTTATTCTTGTTGAGTAGCGTCGTTCTCGTTCTTTTAGCATAGTCGTTTTTTCTGATTGACCAGCGTCGTTCACGTCTTTCTTTTATTTCGGTTGAAAAGCGTCGTTCTCGTTATTTTTTATATTGGTTAAACAGCGTCGTTCTTTTTATTTCGGTCGAGAAGCGTCGTTCTTTTTTTATTTCGGTCGAGCCCCCAAATTTATGGTTTTTATTAATTTGAGCAAAATAGTTTTATTTATTTTAATTCAGGTTTTATGTTTATTTATAAAATAAAGTAATTTAGATTAAAATAAAAGTATGATGAATAAATGAAATGATTAAAATGATGTTTTGCCGAAGCACGTCTTTACAGTTTCGCGTCGTCGTTCGAACTAACTTTAAGTATGAGTGTGATACAAGAGCATACCAAATTTTCTCATCCTACAGTATTAATACGGGAAACTTGTTTAATTTATTACTATCGAGAAATCTGATCTTAATGACATAATTCTGTATTACTGAGAAGAATGATTACCCTACCGCCGATATTTTAAGAGTATCTAATCACCCTTATTACGGTAGGCGTAGTCGTCGTACGGCAGCTCTCGTAGGCGTAGTCGTTTTGGTCGGTATTATGTAAAATTTACGACAACGCCAAATTTTGTAATAGATTTTTCTGTTACAAAACCAAAGCAAAAATTGTACTTTTAGAACCATTTTATATTGTATTGGAAAAACTAGGTCATTTTCTTTGTTTTTCTAGTTAATTTTCCGGTAAGTGTATTTCTTATGAATATTGAAAAATGCAATAAAATGAAGTCTAATGTAACAGTTAATTATATATTAGGTGTGTCTGGTTACCCTAAAGTTTGTAACAATTGTTACAAATTGTTACTGGAAGTCGTCTGTTAACCCAAAAGTTCTGCAAAAGAGAGCGGTTGGAGAGAGAAATTTTGACAGTTCTTTCAGTGAGAGTTTGCAAATTCTTGCTGGAAAAATTTCTTCTTGCAATCTCTTGCAACTCTTCTTCTTCTCATACATCGACATTCAATCAGATGTTTTCTATTGTTTGTTTATTTATTTTTGTGCTTTCAATTTGAAAATAATTTTTTTTGGAATTAGCAAGACTAATTGTTTTTGGAGAAAAACTTTACAAAACGAGAAAAACGTAAGTATTAATATGTAATAGGAAAATAAAAGACTATTTCCAGCATTTTTAGAAAAATGACGGAAGAAGATCAGTGTGTCTCTGTAGCCAGTGGCAGTAAATTATTAAGCCCAAATATGGATTCTGGGGAACACATCAAATCTATCTTTCTTTTATTGCTCATTTTTTTTATTTTATTTCCTTTTTATTTCAAAAACTTGTTAAACTGGTTGTGTTTTCTTTCTTTTAATTCTTTATAATGGCGGACAAATTGGTTTGTTTTGACAAATCAGCTGATTAGTTGCAAGCTTCTGCAGGGATCACGACAACGCCAACCGTAATCTGAATATTTACTTTTATATTTCTTTCAAAAGTAGAATAAAACTACCTTACTTGTTATATGTTTCTATTTTATTTTTTTAACTCCAACACAGTTAGCATTTATTGACATAATTCAAAATTATTAATATTAATAATTATCGTAATATTTTAGTGGATGATGCAAATTATTTTGCAGCACAATTTTAATGCAAATTTTGTATTTGTAGAATTTTACATGAGTTCATTAACTATTTTATGCATTAATGTTAAAATTATTCAGAGAGCATAGTTTTGCCACTCGCCTTCTCTTTCTCCTTCTCCCTCTCTCGCTCCCTGTCATTGCGAGTTTCAGTTTGTCCCAATAAAAGCGCTGTATTCGGCTGACTTTGATGAGTCTTTTGCTTCAGCATTGTCCAATCGTAAATGTAATCGTACTGATGATTCAAAGTTCGGAAGAGTATTCTATGAACAACAAAAAAGGTAAAAAACATATTGCCATATAAGGTATTACATATAGTTATTACCTAAAAAGTTGACGGAGATACATATAATCGGGCTGCTCATCAAAACGCAAGCTGCGACAATAATTCAAATACATTGAAAATTCAGCTGGGAAACCTTTACAAAGAACTTCAATTGGAGTAGACATTTTCTTTTCGGAAATCTTTTCGTACTTTTGTTGTTTATTAGTAGCTTTCATTCCTTGCCATGGCAACACGCTGCGATTGAAATACATCATAACGTACCCTAAAGACTCCATGTCATCTCTACGCGATTGTTCGATACCCAAATGAGCGTTAATTGATGCATAACGGGCAGTTCCAGTCAAATTTTTATCTTCCCGGTACGGAATATGGGCACGAGTAGTGGGGTCTCTATACTTTTTAGCCAAACCGAAATCAATTAAGAACAATTTGTTACAATGACGCCCAATACCCATGAGAAAATTATCAGGTTTGATGTCTCGATGAATGAAACACTTCAAGTGTATATATTCCAAACGACCGATCATTTGATCAACCAACATCAAAACAGTTTTAATTGTGAAGTGGCGAGTACAAAAGTTGAATAAATCTTCCAAAGAGGGTCCTAGAAGATCCATAACTAATATATTGAAATTCTTCTCTTTGCCGTGGTGGCGAATTCGCGGAATGCCTACACCACCATTTAATATACGATATAATTTTGCTTCATATTGCAATTGTGGATGGCGAGCAGAAGTACTTTCCATTTTAACAGCCACTTCTTCTCCGCTCTGTATACTTATACCAAGATAAATATCGCCAAAAGAGCCACTTCCTATAAAAATTATTTTTAAAAATCGTAAAAATGTAATGAAATGCTCGTTTATATATTTTAAAATACTTACCGATTTTGCGGCTCAGGCGATACTTTCCGCCCACTATAACATCTGATCTATTCTTCATAAGGTTAAACCTATCCATCTTTGAAATGGACTTTCTTACTTCAAAGTATACTGGAAAAATAAACAAGTTGATTATCAGTATCTTGTAATAAAATTTAAATTGTTAGCAGAAAGATTTATGTTATTATTAAACAATTAAAATGCCCACAATAATATCGCTTTTTCTAATTATCAATGTTCAACAAGATATTGGGAGGATGTAAAATTACTAATGGGATGGCCTGCCCTCCACTGTAGAGATGTTGCAAATTAATTTAAGTTTTTTTTCATCTTTGTGAATGTTCACTAATATTGTGATGCTCCGTGTTGTTTAAACAATAATTTATTTCTTAAACATATAATCTTTGCTTGTATGATAAGTATTCAAAGTTTTTTTTAAAATCTTTTTGTGCAATATCAGAGATTTAACGGAAACTGTGCCAAATCATACGCAATTACTAGTCTGGCCAAAAATACCAGATCCTCGGCTGACGATATAAATTATTTCATACAATCAAAAATGGATGGAGATTTCTTTTTACGATGTTACAAGCTTCGATCTTCATTCTCAGAAAGTAGACCTTTTAAAATGGTAATGGTTCATCGTTTTATATCGAGAGAATTATGGCCTGCTAAAGCATTTGTTAAAGAATTTTTGGAAATACCTAAAAATATCTCATTCGCCTCAGAGGGCAGACATATTGCCAAAAAAAAAAAAACAGAATATGTTTCTTTATATTTGCTATTAGAATTTGAAAGCATTCGTGATAGATTTATGGATATTGAGTAAATACCTACTTTTACGGAAATAAACCAATTTACCTGAATATTGAAACTTTTTGTGTAAAAGGCTCTTGAATTTTAATAAAATGTTCATTATCTGTAAACTCAATTTTTCTACACAAATTGTCAACATCTCAATTTTTTCTCATGTGGCCTTGCCCTGATAGAACCATGTGGCCTTGACCTGATAGCACCAATAAATTTCAAGATTGGGTCGGAGAAGTAATGTGCAGCATATTTCCCCAACCGATGCACCTACGTTTGGAACTCCTCATTTTATTTGATAATTAACTATGTGTAATGGTGGATGGGATAGATTGTAGGAACTTCGTGGATGTTAGCAATAAATAATTCACCCACAATTAAGCATCGGATCAGAATTTACAGAAACCCTCTACACCCATCTCTAATTATATGGGAAGGAATATTTTGTCAATATAAATGCAAACGGACGTAACCACATTTTACAGGAGAAGCAAAAAACTTTATAAAATCTATAAAAATTGACTCTATAGTGCAGTTAAAATTTTAGCGAAGTATAGTATAGAACCGTATTTATGTTTTGATTTTTTTTTTTTTGGTTTTGAAAGTTTTTATGTCAACAATAAGACGTACGATGTAAATGATGCACTAAAGACACTGTAGAGCCGTTGCAAATTAATTTAAGTTTTTTTCATCTTTGTGAATGTTCACTAATATTGTGGTGCTCCGTGTTGTTTAAACAATCATTTATTTCTTAAACATATAATCTTTGCTTGTATGATAAGTATTCATAGTTTTTTTTTTTAAATCTTTTTGTGCAATATCAGAGATTTAACGGAAACTGTGCCAAATCATACACAATTACTAGTCTCGGCTGACGATATAAATTATTTCATACAATCAAAACATATTTCTCCGATAGCGATAGAACTTTGCACAGGATACTTTATGTAGTATAGAATGACGAGTATTGAAAAATTGATTTAGATATATCTCATATATTTTCTGCAATGCTTGTCCGATTAATATGAACTTTTGAAACACGCGCTATGCTCCCGGATACCAAGTTTTATTCAAATCGGTCTAGATTATCCATATAACTCTCAAACGACTTTTTACAGGGTTAACATACTATATGAGGATTATTTTGCCATGTATGCAATGTAGTTGACAATTTATATCCACTGGGTTAACGAAATCCAGTGCAACGTAAACGTACTGTCAAACATACTTTTCTTCGATTTCATACAAAGCCTGTTTGAAATGAATGGATTTTAAGAGATCGATTCATATATCTATATTGGTCACATATTACATTTCAAAATTCCAGCAGCATATTAAAATTGCATTTGTTATTTTAATTAGTACATATAATAGCAAACATCCCAGATGTAACATTAGTAAAAATTCTGAATTTCTATCTTCAGTCAGTTTTTTACAGGAGTGTAGTTACGTCTGTTTGCATTAATAAAAACATGCTATTGTAGATACGTCCGTTTGAAATTCTTTAATAAGATCACTGTTTTTGACGTTAGATGTCTAAATTTTTGTGTGAACAAACAAAAAATTAATATCGATTTTTTCTGTAGTTACGTCCTTTTGCATTTATTATGGCGACTTTTCTAAATTGGCTCAAGTAAAGTTTAGGAGTTCCGATCGGATCGCTATGAAATTTTTACCGTAAGTTGTCCTCGATGAGCTGCTGCTCAACACTTTTCTGCTTTTAAAGTACTGTCCAAAAGCTTTAAAATGTTATTGCCTTGGTTTTAATAATTATGTCTAATTTAAAAATCGATTTCCGGGAAGCATGCATCCACATAAAATGTATATCACTCACTGTGATAAGTTCAACGAGGACTACTAACGATTAAATAAATAATTTTCACAGCGATCCGGGTGGAACCACTGAACTTGTTCAATTTTTAGAAGTGTGGACAAAAAACTTACAACAAAACCTTCAAATGACATTATGCGAGTTATGACACTCTTTGAAAAAAAAATAAAATTAACAAAATGTAAGAATGAATATCACTTCACATTTAAATACGATTAATAACAAGAATATATATACACTGGATTATTTATATGGCTTAATATTAAGATGCCGACTGTAAATTAAAATGGCTTAAATACCTCAATTTTTCATTTAATTACCAATACAAAAACAATTGGGCTTTATTTCATCGTTTTCTTCATTAGTATACGACGTACTGCTTATAAGTATGTAGCTTTGTTAGCGATGTGGTGATCAACGAAACCAAACAAGTCGTTTTTCAACAAATACATGTAGCGTTTGTTAAGATTTAAGAAATGTGTGGTGAAATTGTTACGTACTTTAATATTAAAAACAATTGAGGCACTACAAGAAACATGCTACATATCAATATGACCAGATTGCTTTTCTACTTTTTATTTTATTCAGATTATTTTAACACAATATTTAACCAATTTCTATGTTCACAATATATACACATGCAACCAAAAATATATATTTGGATGCCATATGCAGAATGTAGCAGGGGAAATATATTAATATACTTAGTAACTAGGCTATGTTACACTGAACGCTTCAAAGCATCAGCTGGGCAACGGAATTTAAGACGTATTTAAAGGGTAAAATTATTGGAAAGAATTTGTGTATTAATGAATCGGATTGTCAAAAATCAATCAATAATTTTGAATAATGGAAACGACATTTCACCTGGACAGCCGTGTAGCAGCAAATATACACATAAGAGAAATTATTTTTCACAAGATGTCTTGCTTATTCTTACCTCAAACAAAATGGTTGCTGCCTCAAGGTTGAGTTTTAACACCAGTTTCGTTGTCAGGAAATTAAAAAATATGTTTATAAAAGAAACTTTTACGGGTTAAACCACCTAAGCAACAATTTTTCTGATTTTTGGGCAACACACTATCGATTTTTCCTTTTAGTTGCTTATTAAATCTATTCTACAAAGAAATTCAGTGAATATGGTATAAATTGGTAGCCATTATTATTTTCGTGCGTTGCCAACTACATGAAATGAAAATGAGACATCAGGGGAGTACGTTAAGCTCGACGGCGTAACCAGGGCTGCCAGATTATTTTTATTGAAACTCGTCGAATAGACAAAACATTTTTTAAAGAAATAAAATACTCACATTCCAAGCTCATTTACATACAATTGACAAACAGGGTTTAAAGCAAATTTACATACAATAACAAAAATCGGAATTTAGGGCTGTTGCGTCATTTGATTCTTAAAACGGGAACAATTTTTTTATTTTAAACAACGCACTAAAATACCATACTATTCTATACAATCCTGTTCCCATTAATGAGTCGGACTAACTACACTTTTTGAAAATTATTAAATTTAAGAATCTTTGTATAGTCATTATTGTTTATACTTATAATAACTTTTCTGAATAATAAAGATTATCGCCATTATGCATACTTCATTATGTAGTTGAATTCATATTACAGTAGTGGACATTCGTTGGAGCGCATATGATGTTTTTGAGATTTTACTATGAAAACACATTATTATTTTATATATTTTTTTAAAGAAAGTGGTTAATTTATTTAAGGTATTGAATATCAAATACAAACCAAAAAACTTTAAGGTATATTTTTCCATTTCGTTTGAGCGCAGCTCATTTTAAAATAAAAAATGGCGTAATAAAACAAACGTAGACTTAATAATGGATCAAAAATATTTGTAAGCAGTATGTAGTGGACATTCGTTGGAGCGCATATGATGTTTTTGAGATTTTACTATGAAAACACATTATTATTTTATGTCTTTTTTTTAAGAAAGTGGTTAATTTATTTAAGGTATCGAATATCAAATACAAACCAAAAAAAAAATTAAGGTATATTTCGTTTGAGTGCAGCTCTTTTTAAAATAAAAAATGGCGTAATAAAACAAACGTAATAATGGATCAAAAATATTTGTAAGCAGTATGTCAGGGAGTAATTCAAAAAAGAAAAATAAAAAAGTAATAAATTACATATATTTTTTGAAAAAATGGGTTCGGTTAAGCTTTTATATGTGACGGAGATAAATATCATAAATTCTATGAGGAAATATGGACATTCTAATAAAAAATTGGAAAATAAATAAATGATTCAGAGTGTGTGATTAGATTAAGCGCCTAAAAAAGGAAAATTTGTGGTGTAAAACCATCAGCAAAGGACAATTCCAATTCTACTTTATGAGATAAATACGAAAGAAACCAGCTAAAAACCGATATTCCAACAAAACAATTAAGGAAATCATATGGTATGGGGTA